ATGTGTGGATCTGCAGTAGCTCTATCTTTCATTCCAATTAAATGAATCTTTACACTTTCTTTGTCTCTTAAATCCAAATACCCAACTCTCCTCACCTATTACACGGTTTTTATTTTAATAAAATAAAAGTAAAAGGTTTACTATAAATGCTCCTGATATTCTGATCCATAGTTCAGTTTGCTTCTTTGGATGCAACAATTTGTCATCATATTCTCTAGAACTAACAGCTTTATTAGTTTTAACCTACATTGTATAAGACAATACCAGGCTATCATTATACATCATGTACAATGTGGAAATTTATAATACTTTTAAAAATTGCGTGCATGATTTAAATTCTATGTAATAAGTTTAATTTTGAATGGTAATATTCAATGGAGGTACAATGATGAAAGACAAAATTAAGCTGCATTGATAACTATATGATTCTTTTTGCTGGTATGGTATAAAGCTGCATGTCTGGAGTAATGAATGACTGCTGCAAAGCACCTCTTTAAAACAGATTTAGTGCAACATATTCTCTATAACAGCTTGCTTGCTATGTTAAGACTTGTTACCTTAAGCCTACTATTTTTAGCGTCTACTAAGGCCACGTTTACACAGCAACGAAAACCATGCAATCTGTATAGTTTTGTGCCTGTTTTATGCTTCTGTTTACACAGAAACGAATGAAAACGTGATAGAATCTTGATAGAACTATCTTTAAAACCGATGCGTTTTCTGTTGCTGTGTAAATGTAGCCTAAATTTAGCTATATTAGCAAGAGAGCTTTATATCGCTAAATTAAATTGACGCCAAAATAATTATTATTCATTACAATGGTTATTATTTATAGTTAATTTGGTTAAAAACACTAAAAATAATAACGCTAAATATGACTTTTGCTGATTTCGCTAAAATTAGTAGACGCAAATAATAGTAGGCTTAAGGTAACCCATCATTCATAATCCATATATCATTTCTATAATTCTAATAAAACTATAATTCTGATAAAACTATAACTCTAATAAACCTGATAAAACTATGATAATAATTTGTCTTCAAACTGGCAACAATGATTTAGTGGGATGTGGCCCACCCATGCCGCGTCATGTAACTCTTTTTGCTGAAGCCAGTGTTATTAGCCTTGCTACCTACAGTGTACTTAGTCCAACCATGTAGTGTTCCTAGTCTGATGTAAGTTAGATTTCTTGCAATCATAATCCTGGTTTGTACTCTAGCTGTGGCTAAGTTATTAATGAAATTAAATTAGTCTACACACAGTGATTGAATCATAAATGATGTCAGTCCTGATCTGGCCTAATGCATCCTGAAATCATGGATTTTGAGCAGCTAACATTGCAATGAGCATAGATTGATCTATCAGTCTACTGGTTCAGCCAGAGCAACATGCATGATTCAGCAATAATACCTGTCAGACTGTATCAGTACTGTAATCAGGCTCTATTCATTGATTTTGGGCAGTGTCTTGTATCATAGATGCTACTTCTTGGCTGTGTAGACTACATGATTTAGGGGTGTGGCCCACCCATTTCTCAATTCAATTATTCCACACCATTACACCTTATCCACCCTGTCACTCACCTTGCTAGCTGTGTTCTCAGTCCCAGCAGTGTCCTCAGTGTCGTCGTACCAGTTAGACTTCTCAAATTCAATATCCCGGTTTGTACTACGCGGCTAAGTTATTAATGAAAGTAAAAATAGTCTAGACTACTGTGGCATGGTACCTTTTTAAATAAAGCTGAGAATGCACCAGTTTCATACAGCAGCACTTGCACTACTAGAAAAACAACTACAACCTTCACTAAAGTTGATCTACTTATCATGTCTCTTCACTTAGGCCCTATTTTTTCGATTAATAAATGATACGTCACATCCGCATTCTTTACGTATTTGTGGTTTTGGAATTTTTTTGTTCCGCTGAAGCCATAATGTAGATAAGTAGCAGCTGGATTTATTCTGGCTGTCCTAGCTGCATGATTGTTGTCAAAGGTATGTCATTGAGTTTATACAGGTACATCCAAAAAAGGCTAAGGCCTTATCATTTTGACCCGATCTTTTATCTAAAGGACGGGAAGGACCTAGCGATTCTAATGGTGCAAACAAAATGTCTAAATTTCATGTTTATAAAAAGTTATTTTCTGATGCATATAGATGTACTTTTGCTGTGTGGAAAGTTTGAGCTGGTTCCGACTTAATTGAATAAAAAATTGGTGATTTTGGAGCCATTTTTTGGAAAAAACTATGGGCTATGGTTTTCTCCAAAAAATGGCTCCGAAATCACCCCCCATTTTTATTACATTTTCTGATGCATATTGATGTACTTATGCTAGTATGTAGAAAGTTTGAGCTGATGATTCCAACTTAAATCATAGTTTTTCAAGTTACAGCCATTTTTAAAAATTGGCCATTTTCTGAAAAAATCCCTGTACTATAGCCCAGAAATGAACATGTAGGTTAAGGAAAAGAAAAGAAAAAAGAAAGCAAGGTTAAAGATAGGTTAAGGTAACAATGGATACCGGCAAAGAATGAGAAAGAAAATTAATAATAATAATAATAATAACCCATGGGTTTTTTCCAAAAAATGGCTCAGAAATCACCCCCAATTTTTATTACATTTTCTGATGGATATTGATGTACTTATGCTGTGTAGAAAGTTTGAACTGATTCCGACTTATTTTTGCTGGAAACCACTCCAATTATTCTTAAACTCCACCCACTATTCTCTTTTCAAAGTTCAAAGTATTATTCTACCCACTGGCAGTTAAAATTTAAGGCGTTTTCACTCAGGCAGTTTTCAAAGTGCTTTGTTGATACAGCTGAAATAATGCGCATTGATCTTGTTGTTCATACTAGCAGCTGAATTATGTATCATTTTGTGTTCTTGTTGCCATTGGTTTACATTGATCGAGACGCATCACTTCACATCAATCCACCTCTCTTGAGGTGAAGCGCATTGATGCGCATCAATTTGAAACGACTCTAGTGTGAACACGATTAATGCGCATTACTTTGGCCAGTGTGAAAAGGCCTTAAAAGTTAAAACTATTCTTAAAATTATTCCCGAATGAATGGCCTCAAGCGCTAGCTGACTACAAAGCTTATTGAAGTAGGTGTGGTCACGGTGGTGGTCAAATTTCAATCATGTATCTGTGGAGTGGAGGGAAGCTAAAAATGCTTCTACGTATCTTTCTGATCCTTCAAAGTCTTAGTATGGTTGGATTTCTTTTAATTAAGTCTAGTAAGCCTCCATTCTGCACGCATTTGTAACGAGCATTAAGTATCAATCGAGGTATCAATAATTATGAATAGCTTGCAAAACTAAACTAATTATTCACATTACAAAGGTTGCCTCGTCATAAAATAGATAGAAACTTGTCCATATCATAATACATTATATCTGTCAGATCATTCCCCAGCCTAAATATGCAGGACAAGATATAGTTTTGAAATCATACATGTAAAACAAAATTAATATTGTTAGTTTTCTTTGTCTTGGCAAGGCAAATGCACCCCCTCTCTCTCTTCTAATTAGAGTCTTTCTCCCTCTTGATTTATGTATATATATTTACGTAATTCTCTTCCTTATCTTCCTGTCATACTTTCTCTTCCTCTTGTTTCTGATTTTGTACATGATATTTGGGTGTCACTGGACTACTGAGTTCAGTCCTGGCATTCCTTCAAGACTTTCATCAGTTTCTTTCCCCTCTCCTTCTCTTTACTGTTTGTATTGTCTCTCTGATTAGTCTTGTAAAATGATAATAATAATAATAATAATAATAATAATAATAATAATAATAATAATAATAATAATAATAATAATAATAGCAGCATAATTAGTTTTGGCCTACTTGAATCACAAAACAAATGAGACCTTTCTGCCACTATGCATTTAGTAAAACTACCTGCCATGTCAGATTTTCTCACAAAGCATATACTAACTGAGCTAAACAGCATCATGCTAATCATTACAGCACATGGCATTCTGGCATTCGGAGCCGCCTCAAAAATTCATTAAAAATTCAAATTTGATCGGAAACAGTTTAAAGTTGGTACATAGCATAAGAACATTTATGTGTATCGGAAAAGTTATTAAGATTGAGAATTTTCTCTTTGCCATTTTTGATGAAATTTGGCCTAAAATCAAAGGCTATATATAGCCTTTGGTTGTCAGCCTGATTTTGGAGGAACTTTAAAAATTCATAAAAAATCCAAACTTGATCAGAATTAGCTTAAAATTGAAACATAACATAAGAACATGTATATGTATCAGAAAAATTATAAAATAGAGAATTCTCTCATAGTAGTTTTTTGTAAAATTTGGCCTGAGCCCAAAGGCTATGTAAGCCTTTGATCATGGGCCCAATTTTTGAGAGATTCATAAGAAAATCTAATTTTAAGTGAAATCAGTTCAAAACTAGTCGCATAGCATAAGTAGGGTGGCATAAACGTGGTGCTTCAAATTAGTGAATAAATTTTAAATATGCTAT